TGGTCTGAAACGCTTAGCTGACATTGGTGGTTTGAAACACGTAAGGTCAGCTGGCAGGGATTTAGCAAGGCTGGGATGGAGATGTGAAACTACACCAACAGGGATGCACTCCAGCTTGGGCCATCCTTATGATGACCTTACCCCATACTAACTGCCTTCAACGCTGCCAGGGGAAGGCCAGGTGATCCATGGAAATCAACTGTAACACGAAGCATTTAAAACACTGTTTGGGGCAGCCCCACAGAATATACTCAACAACTTGGCTTTGCACTCCAGGGAAATTCATTATAAACATTTGACTTAATTTCTTGCAAGGGGAAAACAGAAGCACAAATGTTTGGATGACAAGTACAGTGAGTAATACCTTGTCTGCCTCACGGGAGTGTTCTCAGGGCCCAGTCGTGTATGTGACACCACTGTGCAAGTTAAGAGGATCCAAAGACACAGAACCAACGCTTCGGTTCCCACAGTCAAGAATAAAACCATGGGGCCGGCACTGCAGTATGGCAGCCAAAACTTCTGAACTTCCGTCTAACCCTGTGACACAGATTCACTCTGATCTTTGGGGAATGTACGGCTGGCACTGTGGCATTATGGGTAAAGACATTACCTACACACTGGTATCCTCTGTGGGCTACTCCAATCAAACCCCCTGCTAATGTGCCTGGAAAAGCAAGCGGGGACTGGCCCTAGTACTGTGGACCAGCCCCGCTCTGGCTTTGCAGCCATTTGGGGAGTGACTAACAGATGCGATGGCTCTCTGTCCCTCTCCACTCTTTCCCTCTGAAACTCTGCCTTTCAAAAACCTCAGTTTCTGAAACTGAATGGCACAGTGAGTCAGTCCTGACAGCCAAATATCTCCCAACACAGTGCTTCTCCGATGTGAAGGTGACAACCTGACCGTCCCCTGGAGACTCGACAGGTCCTCATCTGGATCCAGCCTACACGTCTACACCTCTACCAAGCTAGCTTCAGGGACCGTCCCGGTGAGTCACCAGGCTCCAATGATGATGATGATGAAAGGCCAGCCCTGGCGGCTGTCACCCCTCTGCTGACCCCTGCAGTGGGCTCTGTCACCTGCTCCATTCACTGCCCCAGCTGCAAAAACAGAACGTTCACAAGCCCAGGAGCAAAGCATTCCTGCTCGGCATTCCTGCTCGAACATTCCTGCTCCGGCAGCTAATAGGTAGGTTTTGCGTCAGGTAGTCTGCGACTCCTAGTGTTCCAGGACATAATTAATAACCCGTAAAAGAAAAACACAGAGAAAGCCATTTTGCCAGTAGTTCACTATCACACTATGTCAATTTAAGTGTGCTGGGAGATAGGGAACTCTGTCCTTGCACACACACACACACACACTGAAAAATCTGGTCATCTTTTCTGCAAGGTCCCATGGCATCCAGGAGCAATAAAGCATGTGTGCAAACAAGGACTCGCACAGACACCGCTGCCTCCCTGTAACAGAAGCCTTCTGCTATGAGTTGAGAAGGATTTAAAAACAAACATGAAAAAACCCAGTCGATCCCATAGAGGAACCGATGCTCTAGCTGGAGGATTTCTGGGGTTCAAGAAGAGCCCCCCCGCCCCAGGGTTGTGATTAACGGCCCAACAGCACTGAGTACAGACGGGAGGGATGAGGGGAGTATCAAGTCCAAGCTGCACCCCACCCCCAAGAGCACACACAGACAGCCCCCAGTCCACCTGCCACAGGCCGTCCTGCCAGCCTTCATCTCCAGGAGCAACGGCACTACTTGCTGGAGGGCATTTTAGACACAGGTCTGTCACTTGCAAACTTGTACCTGGGTGCCGAGCCATGCAGCCCCAGTCATGAGGGGTTCACCCAATCCCAGCGGCACATGCTGGCCTCACTCCCTCCTAGTTCTTGTCCGAGGTGGACAATCAGCTTGATCAGGGAACCTGCTGCCACCGAAGCTGGGAAGACAACTCACCTAGGCCCTACAGGAAAGCCCTGTTAGCACAAGGGACAGATTCAGATCTCACAGCATGTATGCCGGCGGGGAGCAGGGGAATGCAAATCAAGACGAGATTCTGCTGGAACGCAGACAACTGTCTGTACCCAACTGGAAACCCACACAGGGGCCTCCTTCAAGTCTCTCCCAGCGCTGGCGTCCGTCCGGGAGGCAGCCCATCCTGGGGAGAACTGCCGAGTCCTTCTGGGTCTCCCTGGAATCCTCCGGCAAGCACTAAGCAGAGCTCAAAAGGAAGGGGCCCGGGCAGTCCTGCTCTCAATCTCCTAGACTTGAGCGGTGTGTTACCACAGTCATGTTCACTTGAAAAAAACAGGCTTCTGTGTAAAGGAGCTGTTTCAAACTGCCAAATGTCTTAGATCCCTATGCTAGCTTAAAAAAAAAAAAGTGTCTGTAAAAAAAAATCCGATCCGACGTAACTGGTGATTTCAGAATGATAAAGACGAGCATGGGCCTGGGGGAGGGAGGGTAGGTGGAAAAATACACATAGACCTAATTTTTCGCATTTCCTGACATCCAGCCAGGATGAAGAAAGAAGGCCAAGTTTAAGACAGCCAGAAAAAGACAGAGCTGTGCTATTTTTTCTTCTGGTTAAGTCTTCTGTCTGAAAGCTGGTTTTGTCCTACTTGAGTGACTGTCAGAAATAAAAGCCTTTGTTCTGAGAATTTAACGATCATCATGTTCCTGGCTCAGCAACACCGAAGGGAGGGTCTCCAACATGCCTTGGTGGAAATCAGAGGAACTTCAAGGTCTGAGTGTGGTTGAATTCAAAAATTAAAAACAAACTAAAAAAAAAAAAAAAAAAAAAAAGATAAATCAGGCCACTTTGCTTTGGTTTCCCAGAGCCGGTATCTATACTGACCTTATTAACCCTATTATGAAACGGGCCCTTCTTCAAAAATGAAAATCTACCTAAATAACAATATTAGCAACTTAGTGCATTGGAAGAAACTTAGAATGCCACAAACCTGTGCCCAATGCCCTTGCTGAGCCACGCACCAGACATACCGAATCACGTGCAGTTCTCACACTGGGTTCTTCGAGCCTTCGGGAAGAATTCACCTGAAGACATCTGCTGGGGGGTGGGGAGAATCTAAACTTGCAGAGAAGAGGGGAGGGGAAAAGGTTAAAACATGACTTAAAAGGTGAAAGTGCTTCTTAAAGGTGGAATTATTTTTATCATCTGCAGATACACTTTCTAAATATCCCTTTGCAAAATGCTTATCGACTCATTTGGTTGGCAGAAAATTTCAAAAAGTTAGGTTTTTATCCAAGAAGATAGATGATTTGGGTTTTTGTTTTGGTTACTGTTTTTAAGGACCCTGAAAATTGCTTTTGCGAAGTGAATGAAAAGTGAATGAAAATAAACTGGCAATTGCTTTTTTTTTTTTCTAAATCAAACAGCAAATTTGCCGATTTCTGGCCGTTTCACTTTTGTCAGTTTACTTGCGATCAGCAAGCCCTCATTCCTTGTGCAAATCCAACAAAGGCAGCTAAGTAAGTTTCCTCCACAGGCGCAGGTTGTCACAGCACATGGGTTCGGCCTTCTGTCTCACTCTAACTCCTTCCTGAGCCTCCCCAAGATTTGGAAGGGGAGAGAGAGGCGATCTTCATCTTTCAAAAACTGAAAAACTCCAGTGAGTCCTAACAGGAAAACCATTGCTTCCTCACTCTTGTTGGAAAACGAACAAACACCGCTGGGACTCCAGCCCCTCACCTCCCAGTGTCAGTCCCAATGCAGGCCACTCTGATTCCGATACAGCTTCCTGCAGGGCAGGATGCCTCAAGCACTTGGGTCCTGGTCACCCATGCAGGAAACCCAGATGGAATTCCTGACTCCCCGTTTCTGGCCTTACCCATCCTCAGCTGTTCTGGGTATTTGGGGAGTGAGCTAGCAGATGGAAGCCTCTCCTTTCTTACTGTGCCTTTCCAATTTAACACATTAAAAAAGTAGTAAAAGTGTTTGAACTGTCCATTTTCAAGACTTTTTCCAACATCTGATTCAGCACAGTAAAAACAGTCTTGGTCTTACTACAGGTGTACACAGTGAATTTCACGTTTCTGTCATAAACACAGCCACACAAGCAAGGAACGCAGCACGCCCCGTCTTCCCTCTCTGAGACATGTCACAGTGACAAATGTCTTTGTTTTCCAATCTAGGGGAAACTGTAGCGGTTTCAGCAGGACAAAACCCAAGGAAAAAAATTAAACAGAATGAATTTAGAGCATGTATGGAGGTTTGTCTTTGCTTTTTGAACCCTCATGGCCCTCCCAGGCCTCAAACACGCCAATCCGTTGTGCATTTCGTAGGAAAATATTCAACCTATATTCCTCATCACCAAATTAACTTTTAAGCCAAAAATCTGTGCAGGACATACTGTAAGTAAATGTCCATCAAGGCATTTCTCAAACACAGAATCAACCACAGCATATCACAGACAGAGATCACGAAAGTCAGCCCATCTCACCATTATGCTGTGATGGTTTTAAGAAGCCCTTGGCATGAAGCTTTTAGAATACCTCTCCCTCTGCTCAGAAGTCTACAAGTCATTTCTCAAGTCACACAGAATCTGTCTGAAGAGATCTGCTTACATTTGCTCTCACTTAATGGACAGGATTTGCCCAGAGCTGGGAAGGCTGGCTCAGCATGGCTGGGAAGAGCAGGTGCTTGCAGCACCTGGCAATGACTGAAGTCAGCCTGGACCACCGTTCATGACCAGGGAAGGCAGAGAAGAGACAAAAAGAAATAAAGTGACTGACTTTCCAGGAGCAACTGAAGGCAAGGAAAAACCCACACGGAAAGCCTACCCTGGCCACCCTACACACTCCAATCACATTTGCGCCACCTGACTTTAAACGCCGAATCTTCCACAGCCATTTCTGGGTCTCTAGGCTGTGCTACCACTGATGGAGTCAGGAGTTTGGAGGAGGCCAGGGCCCATCAGGATCCCTGGCAGGTGCCACACAGAGCACACAGCATGCAGAACCCAATAATGACTGCAAAAACCCATCTGAGAAACATAACATTTTAATAGATGAAATAAATACTCCAGTACATGCAAGGTAAAAACTTGACATTGAGGGGAGGGGAAAATCACTCTATAGTGTAAATTCAAAAATAAAACACGCTCACAGTAGCTTCCCCCATTTGCAAATCACATAGCCAAGTCAGACTCTTTCCACACCAAGTATACTCCTAATTCAACACGATTGCATTTAAAAAAAAAAAGACATACAAAAAAAAAAAGGTAGCTACATCCACATCTAAGGAGTGAAAACTGAGGTAACCTTTTTTTTTAATTAAAACAACAACCAAAAAGAAAAATAAAACAGGGACAAAGAAACGAGCCCATGCCCTCCTTCCTGCCCACTGCTAACATTTAGCTGGGAAATTCCGGAAGACAGACAGGTTGGTTGGGGTGGGAGAGTTGCAGGGCACTGCCACCAACGAATCATCCATCTTCTGGTTTCCAGTTCCTGGGTGCATGCAGGTTCCGGGGTGGGGGTCCCTGCGGCCCCGCCTTCTGGAAGGTTAGTGCCTCGTTTGTGGGGCACGGGAAAGGGAGCCATTCACCTCTGACTTCTTTGGTATAAATGGAGAGGGGCGGAGAGTTAAGCATCTTCCTTCAGTCTGGGGGTGATGGTGGAGATGGGGTAAGTGCCAAAGTGGGGAGAGGGGTGGGACGCTAATTCACAGAATTGGAATTCACTGGCGGTAAAGTCCTCGGCGAAGACCTCTCCCTTAAAGCCTGAGATAGCAGGGTGCAGCCTTCAGACACGGCACAGGCCGAGTTCCGCAGCCTCTCCCTGTGGTCCGACATCTTGGCGCCCCCGTCGGGGTGCTGCGCCAGATCCCTGAGGCACTGGGTCAGGAGCACGCAGGCCGACACGACGCTCATGGCACCGCCCAGGATGGCGGTCTGCACCGCCTTGCCCTCGGCGCTCACAGCCGCCGCACGCCCCAGGAACTGTGGTTCCGTGGCGAAGCCCACCAGGGCGCTCACGGCCTGCACCAGGGGCCCGCTGAAGAGCGCACAGCGACTGCGCGCCAGCTCGCTGGGCGCCGCCTTCACCTCGCGCACACACGCCAGCAGCGCCGAGGCGCTCGTGCTCATGCACTTGACGCCCAGCTTGAACTGCTCACGGGAGAAGCGGTCCCGAGACTTGTCGCTGGCCAGGGCGCACGCGTCCGTCAGGAACTTGAGGTTGCGCGACAGGCCCTGTGACACCTCCAGCAGCAGCTGCGGGGTCATGTCGGCCAGCGGCGTGGCACGCAGCACGGCGCAGCCCTGCTCCACCTCGTGGCGGCAGCGCGTCACACGGTAGCGGTCCACCAGCCCTGGCTGCGCGGGCTGCGCACCCGGCGTGGCCACGGCCGCCAGGTAGGCCGCGTGGGCCGAGCACTCGGTCAGTGACACCACCAGTTCGCCCAGCTCCACCAAGCTGTCCCCGGCCTCGCCAAAGCGGCCCATGTTGAGCTGGCTCTGCACGTCGTGGGTGAGGATGGACAGCCCCTTGGTGCGCGCGATGATGGTGTCCCGGCACTGCTCGAAGGATTCGGCGCCAGCACACGAGGCGGCGGGGCCCTCAAAGAGCACGGGCCGCGCCTCGCTCGACAGCAGCAGCAGGTCGGCCACCAGCTGCATCTTGCCCTTGCAGTGGTCGCAGACGGACACCAGCCTCTTGCGTGGCAGCGAGCAGGCCCCGCCAATGCCGCCGGCACTCGCAGGAGCCAGAGAAGCCGCCTCGCCACTGGGCTTCCCGCCGCTGCCGCTAGCCATCGCGCCCGGGGGGCACTGGCATGCCGCTGGGGAGCCCGCTTCCACCACTGCGGCCGCGACTCAGCTGGCCAGGGCCGCGGTGCCGTCCCCGCACCATCATGCCATCCACCGCCGCGGGCGGAGGGCGCTGGGTGGTGGTGGTGGTGGCTGGGGAGCGCAGAGGGACTGAAAGCCAGGGAACGCAGGAGGCTCTTCGGGGCGCTGCGCGGGGCTGTGGCGTTGGGCCTCCCAAAGGGCTTGCAGGAATCATGAACTGGGGCACGGTGCACTCACAGTCCGCGCCCCTCGTCTCCGGGTTGCCACCAGCCAAGTCCCTTCTGTAGAGCCGCCGCCACCGCCGCCTTCCTGGGCATGGCCCGACCCGGCCACCGGCGCTGGGAGGGCGGGACGGGGAAGCTGGGAGTTGTCCTTCCTTCCTTCCTTTCTTTGAAACCAAAATCCTTCCCTCGGGGAGGAGGAACGCGGGGTGGCTCGGTGAGCTGTGTTGCGCTGTCAGGCGCCGCGGGGCCGGTGGCGCACGTGTGCTCCGGGTGCCGGGATCCCGTCAGGCGGTGCTGGCTCGCGACGGCGGCTCCAACTGGTGCTCCGGGACTCGCATCTCCTGCGTCCTCCTGCCCTCGCCCGAGCGGAGCAGTGCCGGCGGCTGCGGCTGCGGGCTCGAGGGTGTGGCCGGCGCTGTGCACCGAGTCAGAGTCAGGCGGGAGCCCGTCCGGATGGATGGCGGCACGGCGGCCGCCCTGCTCTCACTGCGCGCCCGCCCGTCCGCGCGCCACGCCCGGGTGTGCCGGGCTCCGCGGCGGCCCCTTCCCGCCTGGCCGGCTCAGAGCGCGCGGCCCGGCGCCGCGGCGGCACGCCCTCCCCGACCGCGCGCCCGGCGGCCGGCCGCTGGCTGTGGGCGCAGGTCCATCCTCGTCGCCTCCTTGTCGCGAACTGGCGGCAGTTGAGGTCTCTCGAAGCCCCGGGCCCCGTGCATCGGATGTCCCTGCGCGCCTTTCCACCCGCCCCCCCAACCCCCGGCGGCGCGGCCAACTCAGAAGGTCTCGGACGCACTGCGGCCACCGGCCCGGGCTCCGGCTCCTGCCATTTTTGTCCACCGCCAAGTTCGCCAGCGAGAGGGGACGAAACTGAAAGGAAGGGCGGGGGCCGCGGGGCCAGCGCCCGCCTCTTCCAGGCGCGGCTCACCTCGGTGCGCGGCCGCCGCGAGCTTCTCCCCTCCGGTGCGCGCCTCGCCCCCGGGCCCGCCGCCGCCCGCCGCCTCGGCCGTAACCTCTCCGGAGCCTATAGAAAGCTTTTGTGTGGCGTCACCGCCTTTCGTTTAAATCCCGCTTCCTCCTCTCGCCCTTCCTCCCGCCCCCTCCGCCGCTCCCGGATGCTTGCGCGATGCGCTGCTCCTCCCCCGGGAAGCTGGGTGGCTGCGGGAGGACGCCACCGCCCGGCGCTCCTGCCGCGGCTGCGGGGCCTGGTGGTCTCCGACCTGACTCTTTTCAGCCCCGTTGGCTTCTCCCAGACCCCAAGCTGCGCGTCTTGGAGTGCAGTGCGGAGTGGAGGCAGTCCCGCCCTCGGGCCGGGGGTCCCTGCGCACCCGCGTGGGAGGTCGGGGCGCCGCCGCCGCTCGGCCTTACGTAAGCTCTCGGTCGGCCGGGGGCTGCGCGCCGCCTCCCAGGCCCAGTCGGCGCGCCTCAGAGCGGGGGACCTGTTCCTGGGCCGAAGGCCAACGGCCGGGCACTCGCTGGGGTCTGGTCACCACGGCTTGGGGGGCCTTGGTCTGCTCTCCAAGCGCGCCTCCTCTTGCCTTTGTTGGGTTGGCTCCTCTTCCCTCCGCGGGGTTCTGGCTGGCGGTGTGGGGCAGAGGAAGGAGAGCTTTGCATCCCAAGTCCGTAGAGAGTGACCTAGAACTAAATATGCCAGAGGGGGGAGCTGAGGGTTAGTGCCAGCGCCGGCCTTGAACTGGACTTCCTGGGGCCAGTCCTTCTCCGGCATTGAGGGGCCGTGACCTTGAGCAGGTTCCTTCTGCACTTCTGCCCACTGCCCTGCTGGGGGGTCTTGCCTTTTTCTTCTTTTGTGTAGTGGAGTAGTGGGGCGGGGGTGGGACAATTAAGTAAAACCAACAGCTTTTGGAGGGAACCTGTGACCCCAGCTGCACAGATAAGGAAATCCACGCTGGCTGTAGTGGAGTGCCCACCCCCACAGCTGCCCCTGGGTGGTGTAGTCAGGGCGCTGTGCCTCCGGAAGTGGTTGTAGCAACAGGACTTCTCCCAGCCATGTTGGCTTTCAGGCCTTCTACTGGTCCTGGAGGTGAGACACAGCGCATCTGCTGGTGGTTTCCTCTGTCTGGAGCCCGGATCAGTGGCCTTTTTTTTTTTTATCAGCTGATTATAAAAAGTGACATACCCTGCATGTGCAGCTTTAAGAAGGAACTGTGGGGGTGGGTTGTTCATGCATGAACCCGCAGCAACAGGTGCATGCCTGACTGGAGGGTTAGTTACCTTGCTTTTGCCTTTGAAAATGCCCTTAACTTTTACAAGATTTTTTAAATTGGGTAAACGCAGATTTACCAAGGGAAGGGGAGACAGACAGAGGAAAAGATTTTCTATCTTCATTTCTCAAATGGCTGCAACAGATCCAGAGGCAGGACCCAACGCCTTGGCCGTCCTCCATTGCCTTCCCAGGCCACAGGCAAGAAGTTGCATAGGAAGTGGAGCAGCCGGACTTGAACCAGCACCCACATGGGGTGCCAGTGCCTACAGGAGAGGGGCTCAGCTGTTTCCCCTCCATACACCCACCCACACACACCCTTAGCTGTCTTCCCAGATCTAGAGGAGCCCACTTATTTGGCCATCAGAGAATTTAATTCAAAAGGAAAGACTAAACAACAATCAGAAACCCTGTAAAGGTTAATCTCACTATTTTTCTACGAGGGTAAAAATAGTTGCGTAAATTCAGCTCCTGCCGTGATAAGCCAAGGCTGTCACCTTTGTCCTGCGCTCCAAACACCGATTGTGAGACCGAAGCCAAAACCCTTCTTCAGTGTCTGTTTTCTTGTTTTTTTTTTTCATGAAACTGCTCCGTCATCAGGGGCGTGGCCTTCTGTTTTATATCCAAGCGCTTCCCAACCTTCCAGGTAGTATTTCCACTTTCCCTGTGTTCATCTTTCTGCCAGTGTGTTCCTTCCCTCCATAATTCCTGAGCCCCTGCCCTGCACCTGGCACCAAGGTGCCACCCTCAGTAGAGTCAATAGCAGGCCGCTCTGCCCCTGAAGATCATAGTCCAGAGGCAGCAGCTTTTTTTTTTTTTAATATTTGTTTTTTTATTGGAAAGTCAGATATACAGAGAGAGGAGAGACAGAAAGATCTGTCCACTGATTCACTCCCCAAGTAGCTGCAATGGCCGGAGCTGAGCCGATATGAAGCCAGGAGCCTGGAGCTTTCTCCAGGTCTTCCATGTGGGTTCAGGGTCCCAAGGCTTTGGGTCATCCTTGATTGCTTTCCCAGGCCACAAGCAAGGAGCAGGATGGGAAACAGGACCACCGGGATTAGAACCGGTGCCCATATGGGGTGCCTTGTAAGGCAAGGACTTTAGGCTACTGCGCTGGGCCCAAGGCAGCAGCTTTACAAGCAAGTAGTCTCCACGTCACCATTATTATAATGAAAATGCAGCGCGAGGATACCACCGCTTAACAAATAGGGTGCAGTCCAGGTCATTTGATTCCTTCTCACCAATAGTATGAGGGGTTGCCAAGATGGGCGTTCCTTGGAGAACCCCCCTGGAAGCCAGCCTTGGAGTTCACCACTGTCTAGCTTCCTCTTGAAACTTCTTTTGGAAGCTGCTGGGGTTTGTGGGCCCAGGTAACTGCCTGGAAGCACTCACTCCCCTGAGCTGCACCCCTCAGTTCTGAGCACAAGGTCAGTATTTGTTGGGGGAAGTCTCAGGGTGATTGGTTGAGACTGGCTGCCCCTACCTCCACTTTGCCTTCCTAAGGTTTATAAAAGGCGCAGCGTTCTTTGTTGCAGCAGTACGAAGGGACAAAGACGTTGCTCAAGAGAGGAAAGCTGGAAGTGTGTGGACTGAGGGTCTCAGCCAGGAGGAGAATGCATTCTCAGGGCTGGATCACGGTAGCCTGTGTGGGCCACGTGATAAGATGCAAAGAGAGGGATGGTCCCGTGGTGCCGCCGTACACCACCAGAGAGGCATGCATCCCACATCCCAGAGTGTGGGTTGGAGGCTTGGCCGACCAACTCCAGATTGCAGCATCCTGCAGGTGCAGCCCCTGGGGGCGGGGGGCAGCAGATAATGGCTTAGGCAGTTAGTCTCTGCCATGGTTCCTGGCTCCTGCGTTCAGCCTGGTGCAGTCCCTGCAGACGTGAGCCAACAGCTGGAAGCTTTCTCTTTCAAGTGAATCAAACTATACAGAGAGAGAGCTGGCTGGGGTTTGGGCAGGGGAGCTGGGGTTGCAACCAGCAGGATCCAGAAACATCATCTCTCTTCCCTTGTCTGCTTTAGACTCCTGAGCAGGTGTAATTCAACACAGTGGGTGCACTCCTAGTTCACCTGTGAGTTATATGACGAAGAATCACCATCTCTTAAAGAAAAGGTTTATTTTTATTGGACGATTTACAGAGAGAAGGAGTGACAGAGAGGAAGGTCTGTTTGCTGCTTCACTCCCCAAATAGTCACAAGGGCCTGAGATGGCCTATCAACAAGAGCTTCTTCCGGGTGAGTCTCCAATGCGAAGGCAGAGTCTTGAGAACTTGGTCATTCTCCACTACTTTCCCAGGCCACAAGTGGGAAGCTGCATAGAAAATGGACACAAACCAGTGTCCATATGGGTACTGGTGCTTGCAGGTTGAGGATTAGCCAATTGAGACATGGCGCTGGTCCCAGAATCACCATTGTAACCATTTTCAGTGGGTGGCTCAGTAGTACTAAGTTTATTGCTGTGCAGTCAGCACCACCTTCCACCCTCAGAACTTCTTCGTTTTTCCAAAGTGACTCTAGCCATTGCACCACAACTCTCCCCCCACCTCTGCCAGCTCGTCACAGCTGGCCTTCCAGTTTCTGTCACTGTGAATCTGACCCTTTAGGTGCCTCATCTGAGTGGGGCACATTTGTCTCTTGTGTCTGGCTTATTTCGCTCAGTGTCATGTCTTCAGGGGTCATCCATGTTGTGGCATGGGATCAGGATGGTTTTGTCAGTGCATCCCAGGTCTCCAGAACCAGGAACCAAGCTGTGTTTGTCCACAGTGATCCCTGATGGTCAGTGAGGGACACTGTCCCTTCCCTCATGCATCTTTTTCTCCTTCCTAACTCCAGGTTTTTTAGGGCTCACAAAGGGGCAACTCAGTCTCAGGGAACTTCTTGTGCATTTCCAAACAGCATCCTTCTTGGTTTCCCTTTCAATATCTCAAAAGAGAAGCCTGTTGGGCCTGGTGCGATTGCTCAGTTGGCTAAATCCTCCCTTTGCAAGTGCCAGGATTCCATTTAGGTGCTGGTTCATGTCCTGGTCGCTGCATTTCCCATCCAGTTCCCTGTTTATGGCCTGGGAAAGCAGTACAGCATGGCCCAAAGCCCTAAGACCCTGCCTGCACCTATGTGGGAGATACGGAAGAAGCTCCTGACTTCAGATTGGCTCAGCTCCAGCCATTGCAACCCTTTGGGGAGTGAACCAGCAGTTGGAAGATCCATTCTCTACTGCTTTCCCAGGTCACAAACAGGGAGCTAGCTGGGACATGAACCAGCACCTGTTTGGGACTCCCATCAGTTGAAAGGCAAGGATTTAGCCACTAGGCTACCATGCAAGTGCAGAAGAAACGTTTAAGTTTTTTAAAAATATATTTATTTTTATTGAAGAGATAGATTTACAGAAAGAAGGAGATACAGAAGAGCTGAGCTGCTCCGAAGCCAGGAGCCAGGAGCTCCTCCAGGTCTCCCACACATATGCAGGGTCCCAAGGCTTTGGGCCGTCCTTGACTGCTTTCCCAGGCCACAAGCAGGGAGCTGGATGGGAAGTGGAGCAGCCAGGGAACTGGTGCCCATATGGGATTTTGGCACTTGAAGGGAGAAGATTAGTAACTGAGCCATCAAGCCAGGCCCTAAAAACGTTTGATTTACATACTTTGTATGAAGGTACCATACCATATTCCAACACACATATATGGCATGAACAGGTCAAATCAGGCAATTGGTATTCATACTTCCTTGTCCTTTATTTGTGTTTGGAGCCTGCCAGCCCCTCCCTTCCAGTTCTTTCTGTAGCATACAATATGTTATTGTAAATTCTAGTCCTCACATTGCACTGTGTTTCAATACTGGGTAGCCAGCCTCTAACCACAGCACTTACACCCACCCAGCCGCCTCCAGGAATCTTTTTTTTTTTTTTTTTTTTTTTTAATGAGCGTCAAAGCTTTGCCATTCACATTGCTGAGCACCCAGAACAGTGGGCAGCAGTATTAACAGCAGAGCAGTGAGCGGCTGGTGGCTGCACTCAAGGTTTGACGGCACCATGCTTGCTTCTCTAGCCTCGCACACTGCTCAACCCCAAACCCATCTCAGCGTTCCTGGCTCCAAACTCCTTTCAGTCTGTGTCTAGTTGTGTCCCGTTTCACCATGCATCACGCCTCCCTTGCTGCACCCAGACTGTGCCATGGTGGAGACGTGGTACCAAGGAGAATGGAGTCCCCGTGGTCCAGGGCACCGGGGTGCACATTCCTGCCAAGAGACCTCAGGCACATTTGTGACATTGTTCCCAAATCAGGATTTCCCCCTTAGTAAAAATAAGGATGTTCTTATCTTCCTCACATCCTGATCTCCACTGTTGGGGCCCAAAGCTGCAAGCACAAGGCCCCGGTCCCACGCAGCATGAAGAGTCTCACGTGGGTCTTGGTCAATGCATCAACCCAACCTTCTTGCATCCGTGGATCAGGAGCTGGCTGGACTTCCTCGAGCGGAAGTCAGCAACCCTGGAACCTTTTTTTTGGGGGGGTGGGGGCGGTGCAATCCTGAAACTTCTTTTTCCACACGAAAAGACTTTTGTTCTCTGTAACTTTGCAACTGGGGGCCAAGGGACCTAATCCTTTTGCACCTTACTTGGCAGCTGGCAGAATGAATTGCCAGGGTGAGTCCTCCCACATGAGCACGTGACTGGCCACAGCTGTGCATGTTTTTGAGCATGACTGCAGCAGCGCAGGGTTCCAAGCCACTGGGTGGAGCAGTGTGCTCTGGGGAGAAACCTTATGACATTTCCCCGATGATTTCAGCAAAGAAAAAAAAATTTTTTTTTCTTCTTACAACTTGTTTCTGCTTAAGGTCAATAGAAAATGTCACAGCCTATTTCCATGCTAATGAATACATGAATATGCACAAGATCAGCCTCCACCACATTGGGAGAGAAGTCAAACTGCACTGTGCCTAGGAAGGATGAGGTAAGTCATACATTGCTAGCCGCTTGCCTATGCAACCTCAACTTTCTTCTCGAAGATCTCTATTGGAAAGGCAGAGTGATGGAGAAAGATCTTGAATCTGTCGGTTCACTCCCCAAATACCCACAATCTCTGCAGGCTGAGCCGGAAGCCATGAACTCCAACCTGGGTCTCCTATGGGAATGACAGGTGCCCCAGCACCTGAATCATTACCCACTGCCTCCCAAGCATATTTGCAAGAAGCTGAATGGGAAGTGACCCCATGGGGCTAAGACATCCCCTGTGACATAGCATTCCATAGCAGCTGTTATTGATACAAGCACCTCAGTTTTATTTAGGGGTGCTTACATCAAAAGAAATTTATCTCTGGGACCCTCTGGGAAGGCTGGGTCACAGCCAGTGAGGGGTAAATAAAAGCGTTGCATGTAACAGCTAAGCAGGCTGCTCTGAGCAATGGGGTCAGCCCCGTTGGCTGCCTCCCCCCTCCCACTGGTAGAATGGGGTCATGGATGAGTTGTGGTGACCTTGGAGATGGACACAAAGGCCACATGAGGAAGAAGCTGGGTCCTAGACATGGAATGGGCCACCAGGCTCCCACCTGCCCTCTGAGAAGAAAAAGGCAACGAAGTCTTCTGTTCAGTGTAAGCCAGTTCTTGAAAAGTATAGTGCTAAGGGCCCGGTGGAAAAGCCTCATGGCTAAGTCCTCGCCTTGTATGCACCAGGGCCCCATATGGGCGCTGGTTCTAATCCTGGCAGCTCTGCTTCCCCTCCAGCTCCCTGCCTGTGGCCTAGGAAAGCAGTCAAGGATGGCCCAAAGCCTTGGGACCCTGACCTGCATGGGAGACCCAGAAGAAGCTTCTGGATTTGGATTGGCTCAGCTCTGGCCGTTGTGGCACTTGGAGAGTGAACCAGCAGATGGATGATCTTTCTCTCCATCTCTCCTTCTGTAGATCTGACTTTCCAATAAAAATAAATCTTTCAAAAGTATGGAGCTTATCTATCTTATGCAAGCAAGGCAGAAACAGAGGGTCCTGCAGTTCCTTCTTGTAGCAATAACAGGAAAATTGATAGAAAAAAAAAAGCTATTGGTAGAGTAAGCTAGCTATTAGCTACTTACTAGTGGTACAGTAAGTAGTAGCTATTGGTGTAGCAAGCAGCAAACAAGAATGCACAGTGAAGATTCTTCCTTCTCCGTTGTGAAGGGAGAACAGTTACGGAGTGCTCCAGGCACCCCGATACGTGCCATGAACACACGGCTAGGCACCCCGATACGTGCCATGGACACACACGGCTAGGCACCCTGACACATGGCACCCTGACACATGGCTGCCATAAGGGCATTTCTGGACAGACACTTGTGATCCGGTCCGTGAGGTGCTGACAACCGCCTGGTGTGAGGGTCGGTACCTACACTTTGGGTGTGTGTAAACCTTCCAGAGTCACTTCCATATAGCTAAAAACTCCAGAGCCATTCCCAACAGGGATGTTTTAAAGCATTTCTGGCCAGCAGCATTCACCACGACATGACTCAGCCTCAACAAGGACTGGTCACAGCCTTACAGTATTAGGTGGAAATCAGAAGACTGAAAGATTGAAGCCATATAAACAGAAATGTGATGGTTTACGCAACCAGTTGAAGGAAGCGAAGGCACGGCTGGGTGAAAGGAGCCCTCCGACGAGCCTGGAGGCCAGGGTCCGGTCTGTGAAGGACCCTCTAAACACTACCTGCCTCTAATTTCTCAACTGGCAGCCCCCCAAAGGGGACCGCGGGAGGCTGAGGGCCCACACCCCGCGACAGAAGACCGGAGGGGGAGGCAGCTTCCAGAACTTTCCGCTTCTATTCATCTCGCGGGACGCTATTTGGCAGTTCCTGAGGCTCAGCGGGGGACTTTCGGACGCAGCCTGTGTGTTCCAGAGAAAAAGAAAAAAAGAACAGCCGCTTCTCAGGAAACGAAAACGAGCAGCTGGGTCTGGCCCAGCCAGCCGGACGACCTTCTTCCGCCAGTCCCAGGGCGAGGGGTCCGGGGGGCGGGGCCAGGGAGGGGCGGGCTTCCGCAGGCGGGGCCGCAGGAAGTGGCACGGGGCGGGACCTGGCAGGCTGGCGCCGGCGGGGGGCGGGACTCGGGGCGGGGCCACGGGCGCGTCCAGGTCACGTGGCCGCGGCGGCGGCGGCGCGTCGCTGTGCGGCGAAGATGGCGGCCTCCAGCTGGTCCCGCACGGCCGTGCTCTTGCTTTGTGTCTCTGAGCTGCTGTTGCTGCTGTTGCCGCCGCCGGGAACTTCCGCGGCTGAGAGTCCGGCCGGGACTCCTGGCGAGGCTAGTCCGCCCCCTCGGAAGAAGAAGAAGGACATCCGCGATTACAATGATGCGGACATGGCGCGGCTTCTGGAACAGTGGGAGGTCCGCGTCTCGCCCGCCCTCCCTGCGGCCCTTCGGGTTTTTCTCCGTCCGGGCTCCCCTCCCTCGGACCCCTTCCCCGCTGCGTCTTGGGATCCTCCTGACGCGTGCCTTGCGTTTCTGACCCCATTCGTCTCAGCCCTTGGAATGCATGAGTCCCTGCTGACCCGCTGTCCCCACTCCTTGCTGCAGGAACGCCTTCCCCCCGGGTCCTCCAAGGCCCTAGTCATTGCGGTCAGGAAGCCCTGCAGACGGGAAGAGAGGCCTCAGCACCCCTCCCGCCCTCCTGAATTGCCGTCCTTCCAGTCCCTTGAATCTCCGGGGCTGCTGGACACTGGGTTGCTGGGGTGATTGTTTTTACGATGCTTAGCTCAGCTCAGGCTGCTGCTGTCTTCCCAAATCCGTTCGTGACAGACTTCCCGTTTGGTACACGGGAATCCCTAGTGGGGATTTTTTTTTTTTCTTTTTTAATAATTTGGTGGTCTAGGCATTGGAGAAGCTGAGTTCTCTTGGAAATCTTGGTCACTCAGGTCTTTGTAGGTTTCAGCTTCTTTCTCTTCAAAATGAAGAGCTGTTGAAGGTTTCTAACATTGCTTCCAGCACCAGTGGCTCATGACTTTGTGGTTACTTTGTTAAGATTTATTTATTTATTTTTTTTAACCTGAAAGATGGATTCACAGAGAGAGGGAGAGACAGAAAGATGTTCCATCTAGTGATTCACAACCGAAATGGCTTTAGTGATCAGAGCTGTGCCATTCAGGAGCCAGGAGCTTCTTCCAGGTCTCCCACGTGGGTGCAGGGTCCCAGGGCTTTGGGCCGTCCTCGACTGCTTTCCCAGGCCACAAGCAGAGAGCTGGATGGGAAGTGGAGCAGCCGGGATTTGAACCGGCACCCATACAGGATGCTGGTGCTTGAAGGTGGAGGATTAAGCTGTCGCAGTGCCGGCCCCTGTGGTCACTTCTGTGTTGGAGGAGGAGGTAGCACTTACAGGAGTGAGTCTGAAACGCCGCATTATGCGTTTGAAGAAAGCTGGCCTGTGCTTTGGCATTTGTCTGCAGCAGTTGGGCGGATCTGAGTGGCTGAGTACCTCTGAGGGATAGGGGATGGGCCATTCACTCTCCCTCGCCATCTCACTTGCCGTTCTGTGGATTCTTCTCACCTGTCGAAGTAGGAATTTCGCTCCCTGAGAAATCCCACCCTGATGGTAACCAAGTCCCTGATCTCAGCGAATAGGGTGCTGCAGAGATGAACCGGGAATGGCGGATACCAGTGAAAAGAACTGTTATTTCAAATAGAACTGGATGACTGGGTTAGAAAGAATGAAAGGGCTTCTGGGGGGAACGGCATGTGGGATGAGGTGGGCCAGAGGAGTGTGGGGGCAGTGGAGTTTAAAGCCAATGGAAATGTTGGAGAAGGGCATTTGTAACTGTAGCACCAATGGAAGTCTAGGCGGAACTGGGAAGAGGACACAGAGGGGCAGCCATGGCAGCAGAGCTGGGCGGCTTGGCTCGGCCCGCTTACACACTTGGGGATCTGGACTGGGTCGGAACCTCTGTGCTGTCGCTTTCTCAACTGCACGTAGGTCCGTGGTGTCCCTCTGTGGGATCAGTGCAGGTGCAAGTGTTTGCTCTTTGTCTTCACTTGGTAGCTGTTAGACATCTCCCAGGGTCAGTGCACTGTCTCTGTATTTGTGCGTGTATGTTTCTTAAGATGTATTATCATTATTTTTGGAAAGGTACATTTGAGAGAAGGCGAGGCTAAGTGAGATCTTCCCATCTTTTGGTTCACTTCCCAAATGGCCACAACAGCCAGAGCTAAACTGATCTGAAGCTGGGAATTTCTGGGTCTTGTCAACGGGTGCAGGGTCCCAAGGCTTTGGATCATCCTCTGCTGCTTTCCCAGGCCACAAACTGGACTGAAGGTGGAGCAACCGGGATGCAAACCGGTGCTCATACTGGATACCAGAACTGCAGGTAGAGGATTAGCCTGTATGCCACTGCACATCCCCTGTAGTTGTGCTGTGAAATGGCTTGTAAGGATCTATGCATGTTTGGGCTGTCGAAGCTTTTGAGTAGGGGGGTGTCACGACAGGACTAAACCGCAGGCGGAGAATGCCAATTCCTTCCATGCTTTGGCACATTTTCTCTCTGTCCTTGATTTGGGGTGATGATAGTGGGGCACAGAAGTTAGCTCATTGGCCCAGGGTCACACAGCAAGCCGTTTAGGAATCTGCCCTTGGTGCCAAACACGAGTGAGCAGCAGTGCAAATGAGAAGTACCGGCGAGAGCTGGATGAAGGCTGAGGCTGCAGGAAGGAACAGAGGGAGAGACGAGTACTCCATGCTTTCAGCAGCTCAGTTGTGTGAGCGGCGAGGCGGCAGCCTCTGCTTTGAGCCTAGTTTACGCCTGCGCGTGTGGCTGTGGGCTCCTCAGCTTGCTGTAGAGCCAGTAGGTGTCCTCTATGGCTGTGCAAACCCTGGGCACACGGGCGTCCTTCCCCACAGCAGTGGTTGGCACAACCATCTCTATGTGTGGATACTGGCAGCAGTTGAGTTCACACCTGTCCTTCCTTCCCAGAGGTGTGAGAACCAGTGTCCCCAGGAGGGCTCTGCCCCAGGTGTGTGGTGGAGAAAAAGTGAGAACATCTTCCATTGTGTTAGAACTAATGTGGGGGAACCATGGGTGGTTAATTCATCTCACACTGAGGCCGATGGGAAGGGGCAGGTGGTGGGGGGTTTTTTGTTTAGCTGCAGCGTCAGCTCTTCCATTCCCACCCGCATTTAGCTGCGGCATTAGCTCTTCTGGCCCCGTCCGCCTTGCCCTTAAAGCATGTTTAGTGGAGACCTGGAGGGTAGGAGATCATTCAGGGAGTGTGTCAAGGTGCCTGCGACTCTCACACAGATGCTGTTGGGAGCGCTGGGAGGGAGGAGAGGGAAGGAAGACACAGCACTGGAGCAGCCCCTGGAAAATGCAGAGCTGCGTGGGGCAGTGGGGCCTGGGTGGGGCTGGGGGAGGGCCTGGCCCCGGGGTGAGAGGAGACCTGATCTCCCAGGGACACTGGGGACATTTCTGTGACCTCTTTTCTTTCCCCTCTGTCACAGAAGCACAAAGACATGAAATGCCAAATGCAGTGAACTTAGTATCATTTCATTATATTTTTTGTTGAAACAAACGCTGCTCGTGAGCGTTAGTGAAATCAGTTTGAGAAGTAAGAACACTGTAGGGCATCACCTGGCTATAAGACGCGGTTTGCTTTAAGGAGGCTGAAGCCGGCGTTGGAGAAGCTGGATAGGATGAAGGCAGAAACAGCCTGGAAGCTGACTAGGAGAGTGATTTCAGGTGACAGGGGTCTAACCAGTGAGCACCCCAGAGGGCACATCCTGCCTCCCTCAAACCCAGCTTCCTGTTACGGGTGAGCAGAGTTGTTTCAGACGGCTTGCAGGGAGCGGAACCCAGAGCCATCCCACCACACAGACCTTGCCCCTGTCTGCACGGTGAGCGACCCCTTTGAAGCGAAACAAGACAGGCCCTGGTGAGAGGCAGGTGGGTGGGGTTGAGAAGGTTGGTGGGCTCTGCGTGCCCACACTGCTGCGCCTGGGGGTCAGCTGCACCTGGGGGTCACCTGACCCTGCTTTCCAGTTTGGGGGTACAGTCCCAGGGCCAGCGCGGTAAGGACTGTCCCTGGGTCACGTGGCAGGGTACCTGGCTGACATCACACCACATTGCCTTCAAGCTGCATTGCTGACTGGACTGACCCTTCCCTTTAGAGTTAGGTCAGGAGACCAAGGAAGGGTGACGTGGGGGCTTTCTGTTCCATCTTGGCTGCTTTCTGGGGAATGCCTTTACGGGGCTCTGTGCTGGTACTTTGTGCTTTACCCAGGTCAAGTGCACAGTTTAGTGGGATTGGCTGTGCAGCCAGGCCCACAGTCCAGTTGGAGAGATTTTCATCCACAGGAAAGAAGCCTGCAACCACTGTCCTCCCAACTCCCTTCCAGCCCCCCAGCCCTAGGCAGTGCTGTTCTGCTTCCTGTTCCCACAGATACACCTGTCCTGGACACTTCCGTCAAGGGCGTTGTCGGCCTCAGTCTTCTGGGCCCGAGTGCTTTCACATAGTGTGATCCTGCCCGTCAGGGTTTATGTTAGAGCACATGCAAGGTCAGTAACTTGTTTGTTAGTGTCCTGGTCCTTTCTCCAAAGGAAACTGGGTCCAGGACCTGCTTTTTTTGTCAGCCTGTCTGCCGGTCTATTCTCTTGTTGGCAGCTTATTGTGTAGACGCGTGTGGACTGAGTGGCCCTTACTTCACTGAGCGGTCACAGGTCATTACTGTGGTTGACTCTGATGCCCTCTTTGCTCCTGGCTGGGCCCGAGAGCTGCTTGCAGGTTGCCCCTGGATCGGCCAGACGTGTTCCGGTTCTTCGAGCATTTTCTTGTCTTTCTGCTAGGAGAAGGTAGATGCGCTCATCTTCTAACTGTTGCATTAGCCTTTTTCTCCAAGGAACTCCTGATTTTACAAATATTTTTACCAGGGCACCTACCCACCTGCCTATTTATTATAAAATGCCCTGTGTTTCCTCTTGTACCTCCCATCGGAGCCTAGTTCGACAGGGTTCCTCCTTCCGCCTTCCGTCATGCTTGCTTCCTTCCCTTAACTACGTTTTCTCCTTTGCATCACATGTTGAGTTGGTGAAAGGTTGTTTCAGAATTGCAGCCTCGCCCCCCACTAACGCTACCCTGCCGGTTAGAATTGAGTACTTTGTGTAGATGGCACGGAGGCAGATGATGTGCAGGTACTAAGGACAGTGAATTCTGACCAGTGGCTGCGTCTGTGTGGTGCACGGCCCCTCAGGACAGCCACCTTTTTTCTCACCGTCACAGAGCTCCTCTAGTTTCTCGGAAGTCAGTCCCAGCTCGCACGCCTCCCAGAGACAGCCACTGACCTGCCTCATCCTCTAGGTTGACTTTGCCTGTCGTTGAGCTTGAAGCACGTGGGGTTGATTTTGTGTTTTACTTGGTGCCTGCCTTCTGTCATTTGGTGTGTCAGTCCTTGCTCACCCTGGCTGGTATTTCTCGTGTGACCCTTCCCGATGGGGTCTTTTTCACAAGGTAGCACTTTGAGCAGATTCCAGGAGAGTGACAAAGTTGTAGACATCCGCCACATGCAGGCGCTCTGTTATTGGGACCTTGGCTGATTGATGGTAGTCATTTTTGCCCGAAACTTAGACTTTGCCAACTAGAGCTGTCACGGGCCAGATGGGTGCACCTGATCCTGCGGGCCTGTTGAGAAGCGAGTTCTGATCCTAGGTTTGGTGCTTTTCTCTCGATCTTGATAGAAAGATGATGACATCGAGGAAGGGGATCTTCCAGAACACAAGAGACCCTCGGCCCCTGTGGACTTCTCCAAGATAGACCCGGGCAAGCCCGAGAGCATCCTGAAGCTGACCAAGAAGGGCAAGACCCTCATGATGTTCGTCACCGTGTCCGGGAACCCCACGGAGAAGGAGACAGAGGAGATCACCAGCCTGTGGCAGGGCAGTCTCTTCAATGCCAACTACGACGTCCAGAGGTAATGTGCCTGTGCCTGCCGAGACACCTGCAGGGGCCTTATGCCCGGCTTTGGCCTGCGGGGTGTCCTGCCAGGGCCCGGGGTCTTACCTGGCTCTGGGAATGTGCCTGTGCCCACTGAGACACTTGCAGGGAGTGTCTTGCCAAGGCCTGGGGCCTTTTCTGGCTCTGGCTGCTGCTTTAACATTAATCCATCCAACACCCATTTGTTTTGGTCAAACCAGTAAGTGTGATGATCAGGTCTCTCATTTCATTCTGAAGTTTTATTTTTTCTTTGTATCTTTAACTTTCTTTTTGCTGAGTGAAAAGTGTTAAGCTCAGCTCTCTTAAGGACTAGTTAGTAACAGTTTAGTAGTTTACATCCTTAACTGGGTGGGAAGATGCCTTTGTTACCAGACTAGTAACAGGTACTTAACATGATGCAAAGGTGCCATGGGCACCACGGCAGCATCCTCAGATGGGATTTAGGGTCTGTGTTCCTCCTCCCCCGCCCATAACAACAGTTCCTGGCGTTCGGCAGTCTTTGGCACTCTCAGCTGAGGCCAGGGAGAAGCACTGAAAAGGAAGCCATCCTCTGAGAGCGTCTGGGCCACTTAAATAGACAGACTCAGAACAGGTGCTTATCTTGGTGGTGACTGACCCCTGCCCCATCCTAAGATGGGAGTATTGTCAGCTGAAAGTGCGAGGTGTGCCCAGGCCCCTCTGGGAGGAAAGGATCAGATTGTGGTCCACCCAGACCTCATTCTACTCTTGGCTGCTGGAGACCCGTGTGGTCCCCTGCTCATGAGGCCAGGCTGGGCAGCTTATTGCTGCCCTGTGGGCCAGATGCCCTCTTAAGCCCTTGTTGGCAGGGGCTGACTTATCTTGACCCATACTTCCGCTTTATCAGAAGAAGTCTTTGAATGTTCCAGAAAGAAGCTGGTGCCATGGGAGCCCCCTCCTTGACTGCCCAGCCCTGAGCCCCTCTGTCCCCCAGGGAGCTTCTCTGTCTGTATTTCTCTCTTCTGCTTTTATTTTGTTTGAGAGGCAGAGGCGCCCCAGGTGTCCACAGTGGTCAGTGCTAGCCACGGCTCAGTCCCAGCATCTGGGAAGCAGGACCCGGGTCGCTGAGCCATTGTTACTGCCTCTGGGCTATGCCCTGGCAGGGAGCTGGCCTTGGGACCTGGACCTGGGCACTGCAGTGTGGGGCACGGTGTGTTCGCTACCTGCTCAACAGGTGCACCTACTCAATGCCAGTGCCACAGTTCTTCTCATACAGTGGGGGCCAGTAGCTGCCAGGCCCTGGGAAATACAGTATGTATTCTGCATTCATGTCAGTTTTTTTCTTGGCCAAGTGCTGTGGTTACCGTGCGCCATCGGCACCTTGCCAGAGCAGGTGCTAACGGCATGATTTTGTCCCTGTCCAGGTTCATTGTGGGATCCGACCGCGCTATCTTCATGCTGCGTGATGGCAGTTACGCATGGGAGATCAAAGACTTCCTCATCAGTCAAGACAGGTGTGCTGACGTGACCCTGGAGGGCCAGGTGTACCCTGGCAAGGGAGGAAGCAGCAAAGAGAAGAATAAAACAAAGCCAGAGAAGGGCAAAAAGAAGAAAGACGATGCCGGGGCCCGGGCTGCCAAGGAAGACAACCGGGCTGGGAGCAGAAGGGAAGACTTGTAGCGGGGCAGCATGGTGCCCTGCTGAGCAGCATTCGGCCCACGCAGAGCCCTGGCTGGGCACGGGCGGGGCAGGCAGGGAGCGAGCACCGTGACAGGCTCCTACTTCCCAGAAGGGGTTAGCCGTGTGACCAGCGGGTGGTCACTGCAGGATTACCATTGAGATGCTTCAGGAGGATGAAGAGGTTTGAGTTTATTACACCTGTGTTGCTCCGCCCCGCCCAGCCCGGTGAGTCATGGACTTTGGGGTGCCACTCCCCTTTCATTGTACCTGCCCTGTTCCGTGGCTTGCTGGGTCCCTGATGGATTGCTGTTAACCAAAAGGAGAGTGGGTTGATGTCAGACAAGCTATGAGGATTCTTGGCTTCATGTTGGAAGAGTTCACCTGTTTGTGCCACATATGTGACTCTCGCAATGAAGGTCGGACACTGTGGGTGCTATGCAGGTGACTAGCGTTCTGAGCCAGCCACCTGGCACCTGTGCAGGGAGCACAGAAGACAGACACTCGCCTCACCTGTCAGCTTGAAGCACTCTCCTCAATTCCTGGGAACCCTGGGCCCTGGCAGGTTTCTGTGGACCCTGACAGCAGAAAGCTGGTGCTGGCGTAGCAGGTCACTCGTCACCTAGAGGTGACCAGCACATAGTGCCCAAGTAGGATGGCAGCAGATCCTTCACCAGGGAGGGGCGGGAGGCCTGCCAACCTCACTCACAGTATTTCTGAAGATTTCCTTTGCTGAAGTGCCTCAATTTGTGGTGTTTCTGTACGGTACTAACACGACGTGCCACTGTCCGTGCCTGCCCTTGCTGTTCCTGTGTTGGAGCCTGTTCTCAACAAGAGAATGTTTTATATACAGCTGTCGTTTTTGAAAAACCAAAATTATTCTTGGATGGGGGGAGGGGAAAAAAACTTCAAAAGTTCTTTTTTTTTTTTAAAGAAATTATAAATGCTAGCCCCTGCACATGGTTACAAATTGTCATCTTAAAGCAAACTAATGAGTGGCCAGCACCGCTGCCCTGCTGCTGGCCCCTTGTCTGTCTGCTGTTACCCCCCCGGGATAAAAGGTGGCCGCTGTTTGGGGCAGGCTGTGGTATGTGCTTGGCTCAGGCCCACCCCCTTTTCCCTGGGGCTTGAGGGTGTAGGGCCTGAGGCCGTGGTGCCCACACCTCACTGTTGGGTCTCAGTGGGGTCTCGCCACCCCTGGTGAATCTGCAGGAATGTCTCTGGCAGGGTGATTACCTTTCTTTTTGCATTTTGACCTGGGGGGCTTGTGACGCTGACACCCTCCTCCTGCCCTAGTGGCTATGGAAGAAAGGGGCCAGCACTGCGCCCTGCCCTGGTGGCATCACGCCTGGGACTGGCCACGTCTGAAACACGCTCTGGCCCTAAGTGTCTTCCCTGTTCATGTCCTTGGGGCACTCCTTTGGGCCTGCGTACACAGTACACATGGATCATTCTGATTCCCCAGAAGGGAGGAGAGCCGCAGCCTGCCCAGCATCACCTGTTCCCGCTCCAACATGGTCCATGTCAGACTGCCTGGGTCCTGGAATGCCTGCATCTTGGGGCCTGCCGGGCGGAGGGCAGCCCCTCCAGCCAATGTTTGTTTTTGTTATTGTTTGTTTAAGATTTATTTGCTTTTATTGCAAAGTCATGTATACAGAGAGGAGGAGAGCCAGAGAGGAAGATCTTCCGTCTGATGATTCACTCCCCAAGTGACCACAACGGCTGGTGCTGTGCCGATCCAAAGTCAGGAGCCAGGAACTTCCTTAAGGTCTCCCACACGGGTGCAGGGTCTAAAGGCTTTCGGCCATCTTCCATTGTTGCCAGGCCACAAGCAGGGAGCAGGATGGGAAGTGGAGCTGCCGGGATTACAACCAGTACCATATGGGATCCCAACTCAAGGCAAGGACTTTGGCCACGAGGCCACCATGCCAGGTCCCCAGCCAGTGTTTGTTGAGTATCTGTTAGCAAACACTGCTGGAGGTGGAGGTGGTATAGATACAGCCCCTGCTGCCATCTATCCCAGTGGTTGGGGAAGGAAGACACCTTCGTGACCTGGCACCTGCAGCAGGTAGGAGAGGCACAGGTGCCGAGAGGCAGTGTCAGAGACCCTCAGCAGGAGGAGGGGCCTGAATACACTGAAGCAGACAGGAAGTCGGCCACGTGCAGGCCCCCGTGGCTAGGTGGAGCAGACTGAGATCTCAGAGGGGCCTGAGAAGGCTGGGGCGCAGCTCGGGACTGAGCAGGAGAGACCCAAGGTGCATGGGGTCCTGTAGGAATTTGGGGTGTCCTGGAGGGTTCCAGCAGCAGTGGAGCAGGTGTGAGATGCGATCCCATTCACTTGGGCTGCACAGAGCTAATTCAGAAGGGCCGGCGCTGGTTGGGTAGGGAGGCCACATCGGCCAGGGGCCCTGGGCTGCAGAGAAGGCTTGGCACCTCGCCGTGCTGGCCTGCTGAGGCCCTGCCAACAGCCTCTTGGGTTTTCAGTTTGGGGTACGTTCATGCGATGATGGACATTTCTGGACAAAGTGCTGCAGTAAGCTTCTGTCTGAAGGACTGGCCAATCCCCAACAGCAGGGAACAAACAAGCCTGGATGTGTATGATGTTGAGGTGCCCCCCACACCCCCAAGGCAGTTCTGCCTGCTTCCTCTCAGCTGTAGTGGTCACTCCCATCGCCAGCACCAACTTGGCAGTGTGGTAGACTTGGAGCCACCATCTCAGTCACCCACCTAACAGCTGGGGCCATGGGTGGTCCCAGAAGAGGCAGAGACTGCGCCAGCACGGGTACAATCCAGCAAGTGGGGACTCTCCCAGCTGACACCCTGGGGAGCTGAGCCTTGCCCACTCTGCGCATTAAATTAAAAGATTTGTCTATTTTTATTAGGCAGATTTATAGAAAAGGAGAGATCTTCCATCCACTGGTTCACTCCCCAAGTGGCTGCAACAGTCAGAGCTGAGCCAATCCAAAGTCAGGAGCCAGGAGCTCCTTCTGGTTCTCACACATGGATACAGGGACCTCAGGCCTTGGGCTGTCTTCAGCAGCTTTCCCAGGCCACAAGCAGGGAGCTGGATGGGAAGTGCAACACATCTGGGACAGGAGCTGGCACCCATATGGGATCTCAGCACTTGGAGGTAGAGGATTAGCTAATTGAGCCACAGTGCCTTGTTCAAGAAATGGCACATCTTTTTAAAAGAAATTTATTGAGTTTTTTTGGAAAGTCAAATATGAAGAGAGGAGGAGAGACGGAGAAGATCTTCCATGTGATGACTCACTCCCCAAGTGGCTGCAGTGGCCAGAACTGCGCTGATCCGAAACCAGGAACCAGGAGCGGGGCTTCCAGGGTTAGAACCACCCCCATATGGGATCCCGGCGTGTTCAAAGCAAGGACTTGAGCCGCTAGGCCACTGCACAGGGGCTGAAATGGCACATCTTAACCTGCCTTCGTGTGTCTGCCTGTTTTAGTGCACTGTGACTGGGTAAATGCACACAGCACCTTTGGGAGCTCGAGTGGCCAGCTCCATGCAGCTTCCCTTTCCACCTCCTGCCTTCCGGTGTTAGGGGGTGATGCTGTTGTTTTTCATCCTTCTGGTAACTTCCTTGGTGATATAATTTTTTAAAGATTTATTTATTGTTATTGGAAAGTCAGATATACAGAGAGGAGGAGAGACAGAGAGGAAGATCTTCTGTCCGATGATTCACTCCCCAAGTAACCACACCCCTCAAGTGACCGTAACTGCTGATCAGGAGCCAGGAGTTTCTTCCAATTCTGCCATGTAGGTGCAGGATCCCAAGGCTTTGGACCATCCTTGACTGCTTTCCCAGGCCACAAACAGAGTTGGATGGGAAGCAGGGCCACTGGGACATGAACAGGCACCCATATGGGATCCCAGCGCATGCAAAGAGGATTTTAGCCACAACGCTACCATGCCAGGCCCACTTGGTGACAATTTTTGAAAGATTTATTTTATTCAGAAGACTGGGTTTAACAGAGAAGCAGCAGAGAAAAGTCTTCCATCCATTGGTTCTCCCCGAGTGGGCACCAGGGCTGGAACTGGACCAGTACGAAGACAGGAGCTTCTTCCGGGTCTTCTACGTAAGTATAGGGACCTAAGGACTTGGGCTATCCTCCGATGCTTTCCCAGGTGCGTGAGCAGGGAACTAGATGAGAAGTGGTGCCTAGTGCATGGGCCCGTACTCCCTGGTGGAGTTTCCGTGTCCTGACTTCAGCCTGGCCCAAGCCTGGCTTTTGCGAGCATTTGGGAAGCGAACCAGTGCATGCAAGAGCTCTGTCTCCCTCTCACTTGCCTCTCACCAAAGCTTCAGTGAGCTCATAATTGGGGTACGGTGGGTTAAGAACACCTGTGACTGGTTTGAGTCTCAGCTTCTGCACTTGGAGTCAGTCCAGCTCCCTGCTCATGCACCTGGGAACGCAGCGGAGGGTAGCCCAAGTGTGTGGGCCCTTGTCCGCCATGCGGAAGACAAGACCCTGGTTAAAACTGGCTTCAGCCCTGGCCATTGAGGGGGTGAACCAGAGGATGGAAGATCCCTTCCTCCAACTCTCCCTATCACTGTGCCTTTCAAAATAATCTGTTAAATATAAAGCTTAGGGGGAAAGCACAGAGACCTGCTCATCTCTCCCGGCGCGCTCCCACCCCTGGCTGGTCTTTGAGGCCAGAGGTGGGCACATGACCCTGGACACTGTACAAACATGTGGCTCAGCTGCTTCCTGTCAGTCGGAGCCCGAGAGGTTTGACTAGGACGGCGCTCATGCAGGAAGCGATGAGAATGACAGCTTGAGAACTTGTTCTGGACTTCCTAGCTGGGGGGCTTGGATGCTGAGAGCTCTGGGTCCTCATCAGACTACCCAGGGCTCGTTGGCATGGGCATCAGCAACTGCTCCCACCACCACCAGCCATCACTGCGTTTCCTGATGCCTGAGCCCATGTGAGAGGCCTAGGGGTAGCTCCTGGCTCCTGTCTCCAGCTCCAATGGTCCAGCCCTTGCCATTGCAGTCATTTGGGGAGTGAACCAGCGGATGGAAGATCTCCATCTTCCCCTCCCTCTCTTAATTGCCTCTTTACTTAATTTTTTTTTTTGAGAGTACTGGCACAGAGGGCAAGTTCTTACTATATGTTGGCATGTTTTATCAGCCTGCACTGCCACCAGCAAGGGATGAGCAGACCCGTCAGTTCTACCAAAAGCTCCCTAGAATTGGGCATGATTTTTTAAATTGTATTTATTGTTGATGATGTTTACATAGTTGAGACAGATGTATTCCCACGTGGACCACTAATGAGGGTGGAAGGGTCGAGGAATGGGGGAAGTAGATGACACAATTGCTTCCTTTTTTTTTTTTTTCCCTTCCTGTAGAAGGGGAAGGGGGTTGAGCAGGGGAGAGGGCCGCCACAGCAGCCTAACCGCATCAGCACCTGGGGATGGGGGACGGCCACTCGATGTCATCCCGGTGTCTCTGATGTGGAGCATACTCTGATGGTTCTGTTTAAGTGGTTTTAACAGTTCGGAGATGCTGTTCATTTCCTTGCTCCAAGGTTGAGGAAAAGCTTCCAAGGATGTGGTCTACCTTAGAGTCTCTGCTCGCCCGGATACTTGCTGTCAAAGCTTGGCTGGGAGGGTTGTCCAATTTGTTCTGCCCTCCATGGTGCTAGGCATCCTCTGCAGGCATCAGTGAACTGTCATGTCCCCCATGTGCATCTGGGCATGCCAGCCATTGCACAGGCTTCAGCAACCAAGGAAGACCATTCTGACACATGCATTCCACAATCAGGCCACCGAACCTGTGATTTTCCCTACGGTTGGAGTTTAGAGTCCCCAAAGAAACCTTGTCCAAAGT